TGTCCCCAATAGCGAAACTGGCCCAAAACACTTTAAGAGTCCAAACTCAAAAGGTTAACCTATTAGATCTTGTGTCTTTCCATGTATATAAACAACTTTACATTCTCATCCATTTTTCATGTGGAACAATACACACATGCATTTTTTTTTAACAATCTCCCCCTTATGTGTGTGTTCACCTAGCTCCTCCTCAAATCAAAGTTTCTAGTAGCTGGCACATTCAAGCATCACACTCTAAACGGGAGCCAACTTGAGCATGGGAAAGAGAGCCAAAACCATGCGAGTCCACCAATGCTCCACCAAACTGCGGAAACACCAACTCTCAACAGGAGGCAACGTGGGAACTGCAACTGAGTGTGATCACTTAGCTCATACAAACTATCGATTTTGATATCACTTATTGGCGAGACACTACATGCGAAAATGACTTAACATACTTTAGGAGCCCAACTTAACCCAAACGATTAACCTATTAAGTCTTAGGTTCTTCCATGTATATAAATCACTTTACATTCTCATCTACTTTTAATGTGAGACAATACAGGACGGCAAGCTAGGCTAAGGCTAGTTTGGGATTCATTATAAAAAGTCCTCATAATCAAATATGTCCAAGCCTATTTGATAAAGTAAAATAATTTTTTGATTAAAGTTAAATAATGAGCCTCGGATTCAATCATGCATAAAATTGTTTGTTAGAGAATTAAAAAGAGATCGTCTAAAAATGATATTGAATGTTTTACGGTAGGGTATGCAACTTTTCACTATATGCTACCTCCATTAATTTGTGATACTTTTCTTTTTAATTTAATATAAATTTTTAAAAAACTGAGCTGAGATTAATATATGATGCGTTAAAATTGATAAAATATTTCAACTTCACACAAAATATTTCAACTTAACACAAAATATTTCGTAATGAATAGAGACTTGCGCCCCTAAACCCTACAATATGCCGTAGATTGGGTTTTAAATTATAAATTAATTTAAACTACCTAAAACGACCAAACTAAGTCCGCTATTTAACTGACACGGCCTTCTTAATTCATATTTTTTTTTCTCGAGAATGAAATAAATAACATATTTTATAATAAATAATTAAAGTACATAATAAATTTAAATTATTTGAAATAAATAATAATTTATTGTATAAATGATTTTTTATGACTAGTAACATCATTTTTTTAACATAAATTTTCTTTTTACAACTCATAAAAAAAGATTTTTTTCTACTTAAATAAAGATTCTTTTCCATATGAATTATTTTTTTCAAGTTTTAAATGAAAAACTTATACGGTAAAACAACTATTTGCTTCAAATAATTTTAAAATTTATTATTTATTTAATTTAGTTTCATAAATATATTATTTAGTACAATTTCTGTTTTCTTCTCTTTTTTTTTAACTAAACCCTTATCATATTTTTTTTTACATCACTATAAAAGGAGAATGAGTTTCTTAAATACGTTTCACAAAACCGTTTCGCATGATTTTTTTTATAACTTCGTTTGCTCCCTGTTTTGGTTATTTTCTTCTTTCTATATTCTTTCATCTTACTTTCCTCCCGTCTTTTCTATCACTTTTTTTTTTTCTCTCCCTTCTTCCATTATTATCTATTTTTATTCTATTATACATTTTTCTTTTTTTTTTCTTTCCCCAAATTGAGTCGCCTAAATAAAAAAATTTTCTCTAACTCCCCATTAAAATAATTTTTTTCTCATCCATAATATCCTTATTTACTTTTTTTGGGCCATTAATAATTACGTTTTGTTTCTTTTTTTTAACTTTCAACCTTTTCTTTTTATTTTTTTAGTTTCTTCCATTTTTCTCTCTCTCCTATCTTTTTTTTTTCTCTCCCCCATTTCAATTATTTTGCCCCATTATACATTATTTTCTTGTTTTTACCCTAATTAACCCTCATAAATATATTTTTTCTCTAATTTTCTATTAAATTTTTTTTTTCATATATATCTCTGTTTAACTTTTAAAATAAATTTTTCTCAAACATATCCTTATCTATTTTTTTTCGGGCCATTAATAGTTACGTTTTGTTACTATTTTTTTTAGTTTCTTTCATAAATATATTTTTCTAATTTTCGATTTAAATAATTTCTTCTCGTCTGTCTAAAAGCCCGTTTAATTTATTAATTTAAATTTAAATGTGCCTTCATATGAAAATTTTGCGTTTTATTGTCACACAACTCAAATTCTAAATTTCTTCTCATATGATCACTTGCACCGTTGGCGATGGCGAACTCTGTGCAAGTTTTCAATCGAAGTGAAGGCCAGCAATGAGATCGCAAGCTCCCTCCTCTGCGTCTGTCATCGTGAAAATGCCTCTTTCTCCTTAAAAACTCATTATGTTCATCGTCGTTGTGAGGGCAAGCGGTGACAAGGATCCTCGCGATCTCCACCACTCGCAATGGAGAGGAAGTTCGAGACCCGTCGAATTCCACATCCCCTCTCTGTCTCTCTCTCAACAGATGTGGACGTGGAGGCTTGCCTTCAAACTCCACTGCATCCTCTCCCCAACACTCTCTTCTTCGGTAAGGGTGAATTGGGGACTTTTATTTCGGGCAGTTTTAGATTTATTATTATTTTTTTTTAGTGAAGTAATTTTAGAGTTTTAAAAACTCCACGATTTTTTTTTCTAAAAAATTTTATGATTAATTGTACATTACTCAATAGAAAATCGAATAACGATTATTTTAGGAAAAAGTGATAAATTAATAATTAAGTAAAAAAATGATAAAGAGTGCGTAAGGAATTTATTACTAAATAAAATGTGTAAACTGATAAACAATTTATTTTATTTTGGGTTGTTTTATGAATATGATAAACCTAAAAATCAATATAAATAAAGAATACAATTTATATGGTGTAAATCTTTTTTTTCTTTTTTTTTTGCTGATAATGTAAATCTTTTATTGACAAACAAAATACAATTTGTGTAATATGTTAAGTCTTGGATTTACATTGTAAACCAAGAGAATGCAATTTATGTTATGTGGTAAATCTTGGACTCATGGTATAATTACTTTATTTACAAACACAACAAAATCAATGTTATCTCTAGTAAACCTTGGATTTCTGGTATAAATCCTTTATTTAAAAACAAAACACAATTTGGAACCGAGTCGCCAACAATTTGGAATAATCGGTAGTCAATCACTACTTGCTCCATGCTAAGAACGTTATCTCTTACTCATAACTCGCCTGTTCACTCTCATTAATCATCTAGTCGTATTCATAGTTAACTCAAAGGTCACTAATTCGAATACTCGATCGTCCGCTAACCGATTACCGTTTAGCAGGCTAAGGATATCGCATGATTTGTGGTCATCAAAGCAAACATAAGTATTCGTAGTACATTAGATGTTGATCGTTAGTTGCCACTCGTCACTCCAAGTTCATAAAGATACTCGCTAATCACTTAACATCCATGACGAATACACTAAGGAAGCTACGCTCTCCGAACTTTATGGAACCATTCTAACCTACACGGACACTTATCCACCATAACAATTACTAAGGCTTCGTTCATTTCACCGATTTGAGTTTTCAGTTTTAAATTTTTACAGTAAAAAGTTCTCAAAAAATGTCACATCTAACTTTTTCTGCTACAGTAAAAAGTTCTCATAAAATGTCACATATCAGCTCAAATTAAAAATTCGAATCCGCGAAGTGAACGAGGCCTAAGAGAACATGGAGAATGAGAACGTGGTAACTATCCACTAACTCATACCGTTGCTTTATGACTTTTCCATAAGAGGGAGAATAGTAGTAACCGCCAAGGTAACAAACCAATCCAACCTCTATAAATAGATGAACAACACCTTTCAGAGGGACTATATTACTCACTGTTACTCTGCAGAAATTCGTTTAGAAATATTGTACTAGAACAACCTTATAACCTTCCAATTGAAGATAATGAACAACCCAACAGTGGACGTAGCTCATTTAAGAGTGAACCCTTAGAAATTATGGTTTGGTTATATGTCATGTTGTTTTCAATATTAATCAGATGTAATTAATAGTGTTAAAGATAATAACGATGATCAATAACCCTTAATTTGAACCACAATGATTTTCTTAACTAATTGATTCTATTTTCTAATTGACTGTAAATCACTACGTCCACAAACATAATATCAAAAATCATAGATTTACAATATATACACCAGTAACGATGTGATTGGGATTTACATAAAAAATAATTAATTTACGAGACAATTAAAATAATCAATTCTAAATTTAGTATTTTAAATCTTTGATTTAGAATTTTAATCCGACCGGTTAAATTCTTGATTTACTTTTGTAAACCCTCAATTTACCAAATTTATTTTCATTTACCATTTAAAAAGCAATTTTTACTTTTTTTTTTCCTTTTTTTTTTGCAAATTGAAAAAAGAACCCAATTAAACTCTGCAAATTTGTTTAGATTGGGTTTCAAAGGATAAAATATTTCAACCTACCACCTCTAAAAAAAGAACCCAATTAAATCCGTTATTTACTGAGCACTACCTTCTTAATTCACTCTTTTATTTCTTTTTTCTTTTTGGACAAACATTCACCATATACTTGTTTAACTGACAAACAAATTACTTATAATAGTTTGTTAGATGCATAATTTCGATTCCCCAACGCCAAATACAAAATAAAATATCAAAAAAGGAAATAAATATGCTGCTTTATATTTTCTTACACGATTAGTAAAGAGATTGACGCCGACATAAATCATTAACGCAATTGTCACTCCTAAATTCCGGACATATTTTTCTCATCTTAAAAAAAAAGTCAAAAATGAAGAAGTTTCACTACAGAACTTTTAGTTACGAGATTTTTGCTTAAAAAATTAGGATAATAATTACGACTCCCCTTCTTTATTATAAATAAAAATAATGAATAAAAAGCACTTTTACACCTTTTTTTTTTCTTTGCACTTTATCTATTTAATGTCCAAAAGTTGAAGTAGCTAGCCTTAACTATGTGTACAATCAACAACCTCTCCCCGTCTTTTTTTCCACTCTCTTCCCAATATCGCCTCTCATAACCACTCTCCCAGCTCAATACTTCCTCCAATGGCGAAATGGTTCAGCATAGCGGCGGTGCGTGAGTGGTACCTCCGCCGCCGCTTCTCCTTCGCAGGCCTAAAATCGACAACAACCGACTTCAGCGACGGCACAATCATGCACTGCTGGGTCCCACGCCACCGGTCGGACTCCAAACCCAACCTCCTCCTCATCCACGGCTTCGGCGCCAACGCCATGTGGCAGTTCACCGACTTCGTCGGCCCGGTCGCCCGCCACTTCAATCTCTACGTCCCCGATCTGCTCTTCTTCGGCGGCTCGACGACGACCAGACCGGAGCGGTCGGACTCATTCCAGGCCCAATGCATCGCCGTTTTGATGGAGGGGCATGGGGTGAGGAGAATGCACGTGGCGGGGCTCAGCTACGGCGGGTTTGTCGGGTACTGCCTGGCGGCGCAGTTTAAGGAGAGGGTGGAGAGGGTGGTGCTATGCTGCGCCGGGGTGTCGGTGGAGGAGAAGGACGTGAAGGAAGGATTGATGCATGTGGAGAGCGTGGAGGAGCTTGTGAGCGTCTTGCTGCCGCAGACGCCAGCGAAGGCGAGGGATTTGTTGAAGTACTCGTTCTACAAGCCTATCACGAAAGTTCCTAATTTTTTGCTCAAGGATTTTGTTAAGGTTAGTGGTGTTTTTCTCTAGTACTTCTGCTAAAAGTTATCCATGTGTTTTGTTTTATAGGTTTGGAGGATTCCACTCACATGTTTTGGATCATTTCCGTAATATCATATCACTTCAATTAAATTTTTTTAGTGAATCTCACGTGGTCTATCAATTTTAATTTAAATGACATGGTATGATTAGTGGGATATGAAAATTAGGGATAAAAAACTAAAGGCCTTTGTAAAAATAACCTAATAGAAAAGCTTTATTCATAAAATAACAACTTAAAAATTTTTATTTACAAAATGATTTTCTGAGAAAAAAAAAACGAAAAAAAAAGGAACCCAAAACCCCCTAATCAATTTTCATGTTTTCATGGCCAAACATGTGAGCCTGCCGCCCATCCCCACCGGAGATCCGGCCGACCATCCCCATCCCCACCCGCGACCCATTGCACCTAAGCAAACCCAGCCAAGACCCATCGCGCCACCCACTTCGAGACCCCCAGCCAATCGCGCCACCCACTTCCGTGCAGTTTCTCCTCATCTCCGACGGCGTTAGCAAAAACCTGAAGAAAACCGAACTCCTGGTTAATCTGGTGAGGGCTTCAGAGCTTTTCCTTGAAGAATCCGAGTGCTTCGGAGCAGTGCTTGAGCTGATCCGGCGTGAGCGCCAATCGCGGCGAGAAATTAGGAGCGGCCAACGGTTTGGCGGAGGCGGCGGCCATGGCGGAGGTAGATCTTCTTTGGAAATAAATAAAATTAAAATTAAAAAGTCATTTTTTTAATTTTACTTTTTCACTTAGTTATTTTAGCCAAATTCTCAAAAAACTACGGGCACAAAAATTAAGAGCTTAGTTAAAAGAGAAGACACTATAGCAACAAAAAGGGAAAAAAAAAAAGACAAACTTTTTGGTTGAAACCCATCTAAAATGTAAACTTGAAAGGTTTCAAAAAAAAAAAAAAAATCTGACACCGAGTAAGATTACTGATTTCTTTTTTTTACATCACTACTTTATAATAGCAACTGATAATTCACACAAAAGGGGCGTTTGTAAGAAAGGGAAACATGTTAGTTGCACCTGTCTTGTTGCTTTAGTGTTGTAATGTTTTGGTTTGCCCCACTCAAAAGGAAGCAAAATGAAGAAAATGAAAATGAAAGACAAAGCAACAGAGAAAGGGTTTTTGAATCCCACGTTTTTGGATACATTTGTAGCCAAATATATTGAATGAAGTTTATAAATGATCTCTTTCGTTAAAACCTATAATGTCCATTTGCAAGATGGGTTCAAGGCACTAGTTTGAATGAGAGTTCGCTTTTTGTGAAAAAAAATACTGTAATAGAATTTTTTAAATTCAAATTTTTTATGTGAAAAAATAATATTTGAACTAAAACTAGATGGATTTAAACCACAAAACAAATGGGCCCTTTAACTTTTACTGAGTTAAGTAGATAGCTTTTTCTCAACACCATAGATGGGGTTTTTTTTTTCATGATTTAATGGCTGGTTTTTTGCTATAACTTTTTACCAATATACTTTTTCCTATTTTGGAGATCTGGAAGCTACTTAAATTGTGATCTTTTAGTTTTGATTGTGGGAGGAATTTTGTAGCCTTTACTCTTTGCCCTCCTAAACTAACACTTGGTTGACTCACGTGGAAAGAATTGCAGAAGTTACTCTGCTTTTTAAATTGACTAGGTCCCGTTCTTTTCGTTGATTTAAATTTAGAATATGAGTTTTATTACAGTAAAAAACTCTCAGAAAAAATTACATCTAACTTTTTACTACAATAAAAAATTCTCACATAATATCACATCTCAACTCAAATTAAAAAATTAAATTAACAAACCGAACGGGCCCGACATTACGTTGTCATGAGATGGTAGGGAAGGAAGGATCAAGTGATTTGACAGACAAGAAAAAAGAAAAATGATCACTGATACAGACATAGGCCTAAAAGTCTCCTTCTATGTTCTATCCCTTGCTTTACTATAGTTTGAATGTTATTTTCTTTACATTTTCTTGTTTTAAAAGGTATCAATTGTGGATCGCAAAATGCTTTCATTTATAATTAGGCATTTTATTACTATTAATGGTTAGAATTTGATACTGTTATTGGTCCACCGTTTAACACCGTTTAACGGTTTAAGTTTTTGTAAAATTTGGTATCGGAGCATAACATCTTAAATTTAAACTCATGTAATTGTACCTTCTAAAATGATCATCACTTGATAGGGGAATGTTAGGATATCATGGACGAAAATTCACGTGATAGTGGGAATGTTAGAATATCATGAACAAAATTTCATAGTTTTTTTTTTTTTTTTTTTCGTTTTTTGTGTGGGCTTCTGTTGTTTGTTCGGTTTGTGGAGCTTTCTCTTTTTGTTAGTTTTGTATTCCTGACTTTCAATAAAATAAAATAAAAAACAATGCTAAACAACGTGTTAAATATTTTAAAGTCATTGAGAAAATGTGTTCACCATAGCATTCCTAATACTTCTTTTTTTTTTTTCTTTAAATTGATTTGAAGCAATTTCAAGTAAACCTTTTGTTTTTTTGGGGTGAAGATTTTCTTTTGTTTTACTCTTTTTTTTTTTTTTTGTCTCTGTTATCTAATTTCACATTAAAGAGAAAAATCCTTGATCCATGAGTTTTGTTGCCTGACAGTACCTGTACTCGGAGCAGTTTCAAGAGAGGGAAGAATTGCTCCATGCACTATTCAAGAACAGAAAATTTGTGGATCTTCCCAAGATAACCCAGGTAATTTTAAATTCAAATTACTCATCCCAAACAACATTTTCATAATTCCATTAAAGAATAGAAGTAAGAAAATAAAACAGCATTTCAGCAGACCTTTTCTATAAGCCTTTTGCATTTAGTTCTGATTGAGAGTATTCGTAATGACCTATTGGGTTCGTAGATTTGAACATAAAATTTGAATAAAAATTAAAATTTTTGTAAAAAAAAAAATACTGTACCAAAAATATGGATTAGCATAATGTGATTAGAACCATTTTTTATTTACGTGTGTTTATTGTGAGAAAAAACATTATAACGAACTATGAACTATGATTCAAATCATAATTTGAATCCTCCAACCAAACATCCCCTTAAATTGTAATTCAACCTATGAACCAAACGTGGGGCTTAATAAATTACAACAAGAAAAAGGTGTTAAAAGAGGTTTTTTTTTTATTTTTTTATTTTAAATTTCCTTGTGTAAGAATCTTTTTAATACGTTTCTCTCTCTTAAAACAGCCTACTTTGTGTATTTGGGGAGAATATGACCTTATATTCCCAATGGAGCTGGCAGACAGATTGAAAAGGTTAAAGACCATTATTTATTCTTCCACTCTATAGCTAAAATTTTTCTCTATAACAAGTCTAAAAAATTACATTTAGGTAAAACAAATCCGTGCCTGCCTTTGCTAGTCCGAGTTTTTACTATGAAGTATATTTGGGCAGTGTTTTTTTTTTTTTTTTTTTTTTTTTTTTTTTTTTTTTAAAAAAAATTGGTGCCCCCTTTGTTTTTTTTTTTTTTTTTTTTTTTTTTTTTATGTCTTAGCTAAAACATGCTGAGCCCTCAATTATGCTCCAAAACTGCTGCATTTACCGTATGACTAACTTTGTTTTTTTGTTTTTATTTTTTTTCATTTACAGGCACTTGGGTGATAATGTGCAGATAGTAACCATAAAGAATGCAGGGCATGCCTTAAACGCGGAGAAGCCAAAAGAGGTGTACAAGCACATCAAGTCATTCCTCCTTGGTCCGCTCCCTCCGACGATGACCAAAAACCCTAACAACGCGGTCAACGGTGACAAGGTCGAATGAAAGCGTCTGGCAAAAGAGGCGAAGGGAAATCGAGTTTTACTCATTTCACCTCCAAAAACCAAGTGATTCAAGTTGTGTGAGTCTGCATCTTTTTTATTTTTATAATTTTTGAGAGGAATTTCGGGTGTGTTGTTCACAACAAAGGCTGATTTTGTAACTTTGGTCCGTTACATGTGAAATACTATAAACGAATATAGGAAGTTTGTACTATGGAGAAATTGTGAAGAGTTAAATTAAATAATGATAGTATAAGAATAAAGATTTTAATATATTTCTATTTAATATTGATTGGCATATTATATTTCTGAGAATTCATGTTATAATTCAGAATAATAATCTTACTTGTGTGATTTGTAATTAAGTTGATTTTCATTCTATTTAATTAGATTTAGATCACCTGTTTAATTTTTAATACCCTCAAATGGTGTCTAACCAATTACATTTTATCATATTGAAAAAGAAAATATTTTATCTTGAGAAGCATACTTAAAGTCGACATGAATCATATATTTAAGAGGAAAAGGAATATACAAACTCTCAAATTATATTATTTGAAAAGAAAAAACTTTCAAAGATTTGTAATTTTCAAATAGAAGAAAGAAAACCTCTCAAATTTATATTAGGGGCTGGCTTCAATGCTTTATCTATTTCTAATGTTTCTCATCGAAATGCATGTTCTTTTTTTTTTTTTTTTCCCCAGAAAGTGGAAGGTCGATATTCATTTGATTAGCAAAAGATGCTTTATGCGTTACTTGCATTTATTCTTTCACTTTTCCATGTGCCATATTCTCACTTATCTACTTCACACGTTCCGATTCCAAAATGAGTACTCTTTTTACAGCCAACAGAGATGAAGACAAGCAAGTAAAAAAGAAACCCATTTCCAGCCAAAGCCGTCTCTCAGAATTTCTCCCCTCAAGCAGCTATACTGATAATCATTCCGGCCAAAATCCCATGCCAAATTTTCCCTGAAAATTAATTAATAGAAAAGCAAATTTTCAACATGTAACATTAACCTAAAAAAGTTAACTAATCAGGTAATGACATATATATATATATATATATATATATATATATTACAATTTTTGCTACACAGAAAGAAGTAACTTTTTCTATGGAATTACAATATCCCATTTAGATTTTGTAACTTCCACTCAAATGTTTTCTAATTTCTTTTGTGCCACGTAGGAAAAGCTGGATTTATCCTCATAGGACAAATCACACCAAGAAAAAAAAAGAAAAGAAAAAAGAAGCAAGTTTTGCAAACTGGTCTAAACGTTCAACCTCTTCGAATCAAAGTGAAGCATCCGGTGCTCATTTATGGAAGCCCCACAAAGCATCAAATGAAAAAAAAAAAAAAAAAAAAAATGTTTTCCAAATGTCTTCCAAACTTTACGGCTTTCAACAAGTTGCCCGCGAACTTTTAACTCTAGCAACTGACCCCCAAGCTTTCGAAAGTTTTGAAATGTGATCTATTTTTATTACCTTTTCATCTAATCGAAGATTTTAATTTGGAAGATCAATGTGCATTAGAGTCTAAATTACATTTGAAAATTTTTTATTAGACATGAGATATTTCATCCTTAGATGACGGGGCTTCCGTCACCAATTTAACGGGAAGCTAAGCAAAATGAGAGTAGATATTACAACAATTTAGTCCATATTTATTTTATCGATTTGAGTTTAGAATTTAAATTTTACCAGTCATATCTAACATTTTTGTTACAATAAAAAATTCTCACGTAAAATTACATCTCAACTCAAATTAAAAATTTAAATTAGCAAACTAAACGGATACTTAAAAAGTTTCAGGATTAAATTTTCAATCCCTCAAACAAAATTAACAAAGAAGAGGAAAAAAAAAAAAAAAAGAAGAAGAAGAAGAAGAAACTTACAAGAACTCAGCCGAAAAGAAGCAGAATCATCTCCCCAGAACAAATCCTCATCTTGACCATAATTGCCACTCTGACAATCCGTGGTGGTGTTGAACCCACTCTTACAAACACACACAAATGAATCATTAATATCTTCATTGTGATTCTCCGTCGAGTATCCACAAACCCCATCACTCATCTCACAGCTTTTACACTTGGTCTCCTCAACACTGCTCTCCAAAACCCCGCCATTATACTTCAAAGCGACGCCGTATTCCCACCTCCCGGGATCCGTCGCGTAGTCGCCGAGCGACACGACGGAGGCGAACCCTTCGCACTTCATTCCCTTGAGGTCAAGCTCGTCGTCGTCGTCGAGATTCGCTGGGGAGTAGACGCAGCAGGTGTTGGTCGGAGGCAAGATCGGGAGGCCTAGGGAGACGACGGCGGGGCAGGTGCAGAGGGAGGCGCAGAGGTGGGAGTTGGCGTCGCAGAGCGGCGAGGAGTTGGCGGCGGAGAGGGAGGAGGTGGGAGGGCGGCAGCCGAGGAGGATGAAGGTTGATGGGCCAGGCTGGAATGGGCCGGGCCAGTCGAGGCCGAAGTTGGAGGGGGAGGGCTGCATGGAGGAGCATGTGGACATGGCGGGTGGGGTGAGGGTTATAGTGTAGGTGTCGTAGGATATGGACGTGATTGGGTAGTGTCCGGTGTGGGTGGTCAGCATGAGAGTCTCTGTGGTGCTTTCTTTTCTACCGGTTGATGATGATGATGATGGTGATGGGGATGAGATTGTGGTGGTGGTGGTGCAGGTGACGTAGGGGTGGAAGCGTGGGGAGCCACAGCCGGGGCCGGTGCCGAAGGGCCACTTGACCTGCATCGAGCCGCACATGCTCCGGCATGAGGCGGCTGGAGGGTCGTGGGCTAAGATGAGACAGGGGAGGAGGAGGACGAGGAGGAGGAGGTGGTGGTGGTGGTAGAGGGTGAGTGACAGAAGATGCTCCATTTTTTTTTTAGTCTACCTAAGATAAGGAGTAAGGACGTTTCTTTTCTTCACTATGTGAGAGTGAGAAAGTGAAAAGAGCTTTTATTTCCAAGACGTGTTTGTGTTTGTTTAAATGGGGTTTTTTTTTTTTTTTTTTTTTTTTTTTTTTTTAAAGGGGTTTTTTTTTTTTTTTTTTTTTTTTTCTTTTTCAATATAAAAAAAGTGATGGAAGTGGCTGTTACATGTGTAAGCAAAGGAGTGAGCGAGACGATACGAAGAAAACGTTTTCTATTTTCTTTTTTTTTTTTTATAAAAAAAAAATGTTATTCTCCCTGAAGTGGAGAATAGGTTTATTCCAGGGGTAAATATGGAATAATGCGTACTTAAAGTATCGACTAAGAAGGTTTTTGTTACATGGAGTTATTACAACTAATAACAGATCATCATTTGGAACGCCAAATGAAGCAGTAGTTTAAACTAGAAGCACAAACCAATTAGCCTGGCTAACGTAACGTGTCTATAGACATGGCTAAACCATACTAGAAGAAATATTGTTCTAATTACATCACAGTACAGAAGAGTTTCCCTATGGAAAGGTTTTTCCTTCATATCCTGTGTCTCTTTTATTTTTTATTTTTTATTTTTTTAAAAGTCTTATTTGATAAAATATTAAAAAGATAAATTTTATAAATAATCTCGAACTTAGATTACCTTTTTGCCTTTTCTTTTCCTAATTTGAAAGACTATCATTCTCCCTCCCTAACTTCAACGTTCGCAAACTTTTGTCCATTTCAGAGTAAAAAGAAAAAGAATAGAAAATCAACATACGAAGATACATTACGGCCTTGTTCATTTCAACGATTCGAATTTTGTTACAGTAAAAAACTCTTAAAAACAGTCATATTTAATTTTTTTTACTACAATAAAAATCTCTTGCATAAAATCACGTCTCAACTCGAATTAAATTTTTTTTGATTGTGTGAATATCATAATCGACTTTTGTTTTCAATAGTTATGACTCATGCCCACACACTTAGATATTTATACTTCACTAAATTGTGTAAAGATTTAAAAAAAAAAGGTTTTTCATAGAGATAAAAAAATATTTTTAATACTATATATGTTCTTCGATTGTGTTAAAATCAACTTTTGAAAATATATCTTTTTGTGTCAAAATTAGTATAGAGGTTCGCCTGGTAATCCAGTCGATTACTCAAATCATCTTTCAGGCTACTAAAAATTCCATTGCACCAAAAAAGAATACAAAAACCTATCTAAGATGAAAATCAGTTATCATTTTCTAAATGAACGTCGAATATTAAATTACATATGAAATACATAAATATATAAGATACCAAAAAATGGATAATTTCATTACTTTCACTATGAAATTATTATGAAAAAGAATATATAACAAATCATTACGAAACAGAATATATGATACAAAGGAACAAAATAAAATGTTACAACATTAAAAGACACATTATGAAAAAAAAAAGAAAAAAAAAAGAAGAAGATAAATACCTACCAAACAACAAACATAAACCTGTCAAATGAAAATCAGTCTTCATTATGAAAATGAAAATCAAACAGAAAATGAAGATCAAACACTAAATTACATAAGAAACACGAAAACATATAAGATACAAAGAATGAATAATTTCATTACTTTAAATATAAAATCATTAAGAAAAAGCATATATAACAAATCATTATGAACCGAATATATGAAACAAAGAAACAAAATAAAATATTTTCATTAGTGATGCAGGAGACAGTCGTTTTGTTGCTGATGTTTAATATGTTGCTCATGTTATATTATTTGCTGCCAAGACTAAAACTTAAATAATGGCTAGACTGATGATGATGTGTCGTTTTTGTTAGTTTGTGTCGATTTGTGAGCTCAAACCGCAAGCCGTTTGAAGAGTTTAGCTGCAGGTCGTTTTACTTTGTGACTGAGAATTGAGTTTGGTCGTTTTGATCGAATTCCTCTAGGTTAATATCCCTTGTTGAGAGGCTGTACGCAGCTGTGATAATTTGGTGAATGAAATTGGGTTTCCACCCCTTTGATTACTCGAGGACTCGTTCATTTCACCGATTCGAGTTTTCAATTTTAGGTTTCTACAGTAAAAAACTCTCAGAAAATGTCACATCTAACTTTTTCTGCTATAGTGAAAAGATCTCAGAAAATATCACATCTCAACTCAAATTGAAAATTCGAATCTGCGAAGTGAACGATGCCTCTGTGTTTTTACTTGTTTCTTATCTGCATTTCTTCTTGGTTTGGACGTGACTCCTCTCCAATTTTGTTACCAGATTTGTTGCTCACAGCTCCCAATCAGCTTCTATGCCAATTAATTTAATCGTTACAACATTAAGGTGACGTTTCTTTCAAGAATTCTGTATGGTTTATGATTATAATTTTTAATTCTGTTACAATATTTTTTTCTCATAAAAAATTAAAATTTTAAAAATTAAAATTATAAACTATAATTTTAAATTCATAAACCACGTCATCTAAGAAACACGTGACTAAAAAAACATATGACTGTTGAGAAAACCAAACCAACCAACCAGTGCACTTGATCCCACGTTGATCAACAAAAAAATCCAAAAAGGGTAAGCAAATTAACGAACAGAGCAATCAAATCATGAGCGACGAACGTTTGCACTTTGCAGACAAAACGGAAGCTAGCAGTGAAAAAATTGTGGAAAAAGGGCACAAACACGAATGAATTCAAAAATAAAAGAAGGAAGACGATAATGGTGGAAAAAAAAAAAAAAAACAAATCAGCATAAAATCATAATGATTTATTAAAAAAATAATTAAAGTAAAAAGAGAAAGAAAATATCTAAATCATAATCAGAAAAAATCAGACTAAAATAAAAACGAAAACATGCCTAAAATACCTAAAATGGGCAAAATTGGAAAAAAAAAAATTTGTCTTATAAAAATCGAATTGGTTTTTTTTTTTTATAATATTATATAATAGTCGATACTTTTAAAAATATAAGCTTCAATATTAGGCATTTAATGGAATTACTTCAATTTTTAGTGCAATCTAGCTCATCCAGGCAACCGGATACAATCCAACGACACTATTCAAACGCATCTATTTTTGAATATTTGACAATGAGCTCAAAATTCCATATTCACCCACTTTATCTTATTTAAGCCAGCTCTAAAATGATTGATTGTCACAATCTGAAAAATGGGTATTGACGTGTAATAGAGATTGCCAAAATTAATAAGTCACTAAAATGGTTTTGAGATTAATTCTACTATCTTAATTTAATTTCAATTACTTTATTTTTAGAGTGAAACAACCATTTATATAAGTGGATTTATCAAAGAGAAAAGCACACTGCTGACCATGATTTTGTACAAGTCTATTTTTTATGGTATTCTAAATAATTATTTATCCTCGTGACTTTTTATTTTCTCTTTATTAATTAATTGGTGATTGTTTATTTTTAAGTGAATTAACATAAATAATATACTTTTGACATCTTGAGTGGTATTTCTTGTTTTTTTCCTTTGTTAAAAATAATATTTACTTAAACAACACGCCACCAGATCACTCATATGTATACTCAGACTGTTTTGAAAGAAAAAAAGTGCATAAATTAAAAATATTATTACAGTGAAAATTTTAATAAATGACTTATTGCCTTTCGATCATATTAAAATATAATACAGTGAAAATTAATTTTTACCCACTTTCTGGGGCATAGAACATTAAAGAAAGCTCCCTACTTCTGTATTACATTCTCTCTCTCTCTTTGAAGCTTACAAAGCATTGATTCTTCTCGTTGTTAAGCATTTAATATAAGATCGCTCTAGGGAAAACCAACTGATACTTGCTTCGATTGAGTGATAACTTTCTCCTGGGTTGATACTTGTATTAAATGTATTGTGAAAGAGAATCTTTAACAAACTTTTAAAAAGTTTATAGCTTACTAAACCGTAAAGATGCGTTTAGTTGTAGTGCTGGAATAAGATGGTAATAGTAATAATAATAATGAAATAGAATAAAAAAGAAAGTAAATACTCCTATTTATTAGAATTTTACAAATATTGTAGAATGGATTATTATATTCAATTTGACAAAATTTCCCCATCTTTAATTGGTTATGTAATGTATGATTATACTTTCAAAAAAATGTATAATTTATCATTAATTACTTTAAAAAAAAAAAAAGAAGTATACGTAAAAGGGTTTTTATTGGTATGACCTCTTTATTGGTAGAGCTAATTTTTGGTCATTTAATCTAGTTAAGATCACATCAGATTAAAAATTATGCATAAGAAATAAATTTTTTTATACAGATTTGAGGATTAAATATAGAGCCTAGTTTTTTTTTTTGATAAGAAATAATTTTTTTTTATACAGATTTGAGGATTAAATATAGAGCCTAGTTTTTTTTTTTTTTTTTTTGTGCCTACCAAAAAAATAAAGTAAAATTGTAAAGAAAACGTGTCATTTTTTCTCTGGAGAATCATGAGAATTTAGTTCAAAAGCATCAGATAAACCCACTCGTTTAAACTAGGCTAATGTAATTGTCGTAGGGTAAAATTTCTAATCCCTAATCTTAATATTAGATAGGACCCACGTGTCATAAATGAAAGCATTTAATGATCAGAACAGTGTTACCTTAACTGCTACGTCGGATGAAGGTTGCCCCAGCCGCCATATCAGACGAAGGTTCTTTTGGGAGTATAACGCAAATAAAGCGAAAAATGTATGAAGGCAGTCGATCGCTCCTGATGGTCGAGATAAACAGGAAGTCGACCGCACTAGCGGTCACAAGCGAAGAAGGCTTAGAGAGCACCTGAGAGGTCGAGTCCACAAAGATTGAGAGAGATATGGGGCTTGTCTTAAGATTTGAGATTTGTAATTAAAATAAGCGAAATAAGCGGCGAAATAAGTGAGAAAATCCTGCTGACTGACAGAAATCCCAACCAACTGGAGATGTTATCCCAAAATTTGGGGAAAATATCCCGGAATAAATTAAGAGAATTTACAGGGAGCTCATGGGATATATATGTGAAAAGGACAAGTCCAGAGAGACACTCTGTAAATTTTCATTCTCTGAACATAGTGAATTCCTCTCTCTCATAGTAAACATAGTTCTTAAACAAAAGGGTAACCACTATAAACCTGGTGTTCTTTTTTTTTTTTTATTGCTTTTTAATCTTTTCAAAATATTTTCTAAATCGTTAAAATCACATTAATTATCTTTAAATTTTGATTAATTTTGTTGATAAATTTCCACCGTGAACAGTAATGTTCATCAATGAGCTTCTTAAATTTTAGACAATCGAATGTAACAAGGAATAGCTCTTTGGCCATTGCATTAAGTTTGGCTACAGTGTAATGCAATCAATGTCCTTCTCTTGCTGAGGAACTCGAAGTTATTGGTGGGGGCAAGCTGGATCTATCTAGGAGCCGGTGGCGGAGCCACCTTAGCTGAGTGGGAGCAGCTGCCCCCGTTTGCCTATGGTGGTCCTTTAATGTTTCTCCAATCAAATTTTATTTTTACATTTTTTTCTCATATGCCCCCCTCTAAATTTTTCCATTTAAGACATTGAGAAAATTTTCAATTATGCCCCAAAGTTTGATTCCTAAGTATCTCATATATTTCAAATCTAAATTGTTAAATAAATCCATAATCAATAATACTACGATAAAAGTTCACATTTTGTGGATTTTAGACTTTGAAAAGTGAATTAAAGTAAATTAGAATATTGATTCATTTGTTAACTATTATTTTAATTTAAAACTTTACTTTTCACTCATGCTCCCACTGAAAAAATTTCCTAACTTCACCATTGGCAGGAGCTAGGCAGAAGGAATTGAGATGGTGGAAATGGGTGACGGTGAGTCAACCAAAATGGTAGAAAACCTATTCTTGTTAAATGACTATTCATTTTATTAAAACCCACCGAACATAAAATTTAAGCCTCATTTCTTTTCTTTCCTTTCCGTTATTCCCACCCAAACACGCCCTAAGTGAATTTGGTGTAGAAAGGAATGACAACAACAATCCAAGTTAAAGCTCAGCAGTTGTAGAAGGCTTGTTGATACTCGAGGAAATAACTCATCGGTTTGCATTAGAGTGATTAAGCCAAAAAGATAATTAATATAGTTGAATAGATCAAGTAGAGGTTACTTGGCAATAAAAGACGTAGGTATATTACTGAACCACCATTTGCGTTTGCTTTCTCTTACTCTTTCCTTATTATTGCATCTTAAATTTTGTTGTCTGATCACTTGAGTGCAATTTGATTATCTTAGAGCCCGTTTAGTTCGCTGATTTCAGTTTTTAATTTGAGTTGAGATGTGATTTTATGTGAGAGCTTTTTACTGTAATAAAAAAGTTACATGTGACTGTTTCTGAGAGCTTTTTACTGTAACAAAACTCGAATTTTAAACTCGAATCGGTGAAATGAACGGGGCCTTAATTTTTCATTTATTGTGTTCTAGTAACGTATTCGATATTTGTGCTACTTACGAAGTATCATAAAAAATTTCAAAAAGTTTTAAAAATCAAATTCACTTCCTTTTAAATAGTGACTCTTAGGGTGACACCTGATGGCGACATCTATTGCGATAATCAGCTCGTAGGTGTGGCAACTAAGAGCTTGATTTGTGTATTTTCTTCGTTCTCTTTTGTTTTGTTAATTTTGGTTTTTCTTTTAATAGATTAAATGATGTTGTTTGGATTCAGGCTACAACATGCATTCTTTGTTTGGGTACACTATTCTTAAGGCAAATTGGCAATTTAGGGAGAAGAAAGATTGTCAATCAACATTTGTTAGAAGGAATATTTTTACATACTATGTAAATACACGGAAATATTTCGATCTGATTTATAAAGATTAATTATGCAAATGGTTTTTGAGATTTACCATCAATTTCACTTTAGTTTTTAACTTTTAAAACGTCTAGTCTACTATTGATTCTTAATTTATTAGAGTCCGTTTGGTTCATGCGTTCAAACTAGTAATTCCTGATTATGATATTTAAAATTTAAATTTTTTATGAGAAAAAAACACTGTAACAAAATAAAAATTATGAGTTTAAACACATAAAACAAACAAGCCATTACTCTCTTTCAATTTCGATCATTCCGTTGACTAGGTGCTAATGATTTAGTAGGAACTATATAAATTAGGGACGACAATTAGAAACATCTAAAATTTAAGGACTATTTTTGTAAATTACCTTTTAAACTTTTGTATTGTTTTAGTTCTTAATCTCTAAATGTTTCTAAATTTTAGTCCTAATTTTTACAGATTATATCATGTATTTATCACTTAATTAATAAAAGCACTAGAACTGAAACATAGTAATAGATTACAAACTTTTTTGGAATTAATAAAAAAAAAAATATATATATATATATATACAAGGTGAAAAATGACGATTTGAGATTAAAATTTTTTGTTTTTTTTTTATAAGGTGAGAAAAAAATCCGACCTGCCGGATTCGAACCAGCGACCTAAGGATATCTGTTGCATTTCCCAACTACAGTCCTCCGCTCTACCAACTGAGCTAAGGTCGGTGTTGGTTATTTGCGTGGTTTATTTTGTAATAATATCGAATATTAATAGGACAAAAACCACACATGACAAGTCGTTTTCTATTAATTTGCACATATTAACTGAGAATTATTTCTTTTAAAAGAATTGGGAATTTAAAGTGCTTTCTTTGTCCGTCCTCCACTCTTTTATTTTGCTTTCATTAGTCGGCTTATTCTGCACAATTATAGCTTAAATTTGGAGCCTAAATACATTTTATCAACAAAGTATGGACTTAATATCATTCCGTACTTAATAAAAATGCTATTACAAACAAATTTTTTTTCTTCCTTGCAAACGTATTAAAAGTTGAAATAGGAATTACACTTTATCATTAAAACTAACAACAACATATATTATGCAAAAGTCATGTATGTATATAATTAATAATATAGAAAAAGGAAAAAAAAAAAAAAAAAAAAGAGAAGAAAACCAGTTAGTGTATGTGGCTACCTGCAAGGCCATAAAGGCAGGCTTCTTATCTGGAACTTTCTTCTACAAACTAGTCCCATCTATACCTATGTTGTTTTGTTCATATTCTAATGCACATTCGAAATTAAGCCTTTGTTTGATAGAAAACTATTAATGTTACAAAACTATTAATTTTTTGGCAAGATATTTCAAGCTTTAATTTGCCCTTTGTAGCTATTGGCTATTGCTAGGATAATTTATCCACAAAAATTACAAGCCCAAGGCTAACATATCCCAATATCCAAAATAGCACAATGAGGTCACAACGATATTTTCCTTATTCAAAACATATTTTTTTGAATTCTTTTAATAAACATGATTTTAGCACATGCAATTTATAACTAGTGATTATTATCACTAAAATCATACATATTTAATCATAAACTAAGTATTTAAGACAAATTTAAAATCCATAAAGTCGTAGATATTATCATTTTTATTTACTAACACATTATGCATAAATTTTGTGTTTCCTCCACAATTTTGTTTTATGGATTATGGTTTGCCTTTGCAACACAATTATATCTATAGCAATATATAGAAGTGTGAATAAATTCACTGTATATGCACCGTGTTTCAATAAAAACGACGTTGTTTCGGTCAAAATTCACTTTTTATGTACAATATTTTCACTTTCAAATACTGTTTTTTTTTTTTCTTGATGGTTTTTTTCCCTTTATTCCTCTAATTATCTTCTCTTTTCTCTTTTGCTTTTCTCCTCAGAATTTTTTTTTTTTTTTTGTTAATCGCCTTCTTTCTAACTTTTTTTTTTCATTTGCCCAAATTATTCTTTTTATAAATGGTATCACACAGATTCCTAAAACTTATTTATTGCTTTACTTTATATTCAAATTAATTTTTAAATTTTTATTCCTTCAAAACTTTATTTTTTTAAATTTTTTTTAGATTTTATCTTTAAATTTTATATATTTTTAATAAGAACACAATAATTAAAACTTAACACCCGCAATACAGGTGAAATTAAACTAATAATTTTAGAAATGTGACCCTTTTGTTCATAAAAAGAACCTGGCGGTAAAGTATTTTCAAATAAGAAAATAAAAAACACTAAAAAGCGACATAGCTTACCTACCGTAGGATTAGGGTCTCGTTATTTATTTCATAGTATTTCTATATAATTATTATTTAATTTATTATTTGCTAAGGCAACAAAACAAAACGACTCCAAAAAAAAGGCAGAAACTTTTTGTGAGGTTTACTTTGGTCTCCTTCTGGCGCTCTAAAACCTCATCCTCCTCCACCTTCTCTTTCGCTCCGCTTCTGTTCGGGCGCTGCTCTTCTGGTTCACACCCCCACCGCACCGCCACCTACACCCTCAACTCCCTTCTCTCTCTACCTCTCTCTCTCTCTCTCTCTCTCTCTCTCTCTCTCTCTCTCTCTCTCTCTCGCTCGAGACCGAAGCGACTGAGATTGAGAGTTCGCGAAGATTCCAAGAACATCCAGGTTCGTTTCCTTTACGAAATTCTAGCCATTTCCTCGCAATAGCCCTAATATTTTGTCTAATTTGCTATCTCTTAATGTATTTTTATATATAGATATGTGTAATTGTTTGCCTGTAAACACATAAATCTTTTCTTTTTTTTTTTTCTTTTTTTTTTTGCGAATACGATTATGGAGGATTGAATTTTTGTCTGTTTGTGTTGTGTTATAGTATTTTGTTACAGAATCTGAGATTTTGATTGGATAACTGGTAGTTTAAAGTTTTTGTGTGGATAATAGCTTGTGAAAGTTTTGGAAGAATTTTGTAGCTGAGAAATGTTGTATGGTGTATTTTTGGATTATGTACTGTGCTTAGCTAACTTTTGCGGTTTGAGAATTGATCAAATGATGTGGAAAAGGACAAGATTTTGTGAAATAGAAATGGAAGAGAATGAAAAGACGAGAGGTAGATAACCTAGGCGGGGAAATGGAGGGGTGGGATGAGGACATTTCTCTCAGTTGTTTGGTATGTGAGGTTGGAAGGAAAACAAAGTTCACTTTCACTAGTCCGTTGTCCGAATTGGGAGGGATCAAAATTGGGTTCGTTTGGATTATTTTGAATCCTCATTCAATCCATTTCCTCTTCTCGCTCCGACCGAACAACCATAATTTTCAAAATCGACCCACAAATTCTCCAGCCCTTACCACCCTCCTTCCACTTTTCCGTCCTGTCAAATAATGATAAATCTGCAAAAACATGGGTTAGAACACTTTTATTCGTTCTGGTTTTAGTTCTTGTTTGATTAGTAGTTTTAACTTTTAACTACTGCATTATTGGTAAGTGGACTCCCCAGTTCCCAAAAATTAGCTTGGATCGAAGATGTAGCCCTTGTTTGTTTCACTGGTTTAGTTCAGTTAAACTTAGTTTGAACAATGAGCATAGTTTGAACTGGTATTTGGTAAGCATGTAGTGTGAATTATATTCCTTATTTGAACTGAGTTAAACAGTCCAACTTAGAGTTTAGCTCTCCCCCCAAGTTCAACCGTTCAAACCATTTTTGAACAGTAAAAAGGTGCCCACTCCTATGCTTTTGACACCTACCAAACACAAATTCGAATTTTATTCCCTGTTCAAATTAAAACTTTAACTGCACATCCAAACGTTAGTTCAAACTAAATTAAAACCACACAGTTTGAATTTTTCTGTTCAAATCAAAAAGTTCAAATAAACAAAATTTAAACCAGTAAACCAAACAAGGGCGTAGTTTTGCTCACGTGGTAGTATGATTAGAATCATATATGCAGATATAGCTAACTATTTGAGTTCAACCGATGAAGTCAATTGCTTTTCCTTGTTTTGGCTGATTTCTTTTGATTTACCTCGTATTGTTTCACGTGTTTGGTCTTTTTGTGCTTTTCGAACTTATTGAGGCTGAAACTCAGCTCATTTCCTTTGTAGAAGTAATATTTGAATGGCAATTATACCTGCTGGAAGTACCTGCGTTGCTCAATGGGGCATTCGCCCTCAGTGTTTGCTGACGTCCTATGCCTCAAACAAGATTCTGACAACCCAATGCTGGTAAGCATTTATTCAGAGCCAAGTTTGTTGAATTGGAAGTTTACCTGTATTTATTTCCAAACCGTGTTTTTTGAATTTGAAGTCTTAAAATGCACCTTTGGCTTAAAAGGCATTAATAGATTTAAACTCTTTTTCAATATTGTATCCCTTTTGCTACTGTTGTTGCGTAAATGCCGCAAGCAAGATGATGATTAAGTGCAAAATATTATGCCTAGTGCCAACATTCCTTAACGGGTTGAATTAAGGGTTGAGAATCATTAATCCTAACTTAAGATTCCTTTCTGCCTAGTTGATTTATAGTGGTTCAATCTCATGTAGCTGTTTTCATTTTTGACCTAATCATGGAATTAAATGGTGATTCATATTTTCAGATAAAGTTGCATGGCTAAGGTTTGTTCATATTTATGTTCTCTTGCTGGCAGTTTTACAAACAAAATACAAGATTTTGGTGCGCAAGCTTCAAGCTTATTTTCTCAGGATTCCTTCCATGCTCTGTCATCTTCAATCTCATCTCAAACTTTACATCGTCGTAGGGGAGCGCGGTTTATAGTTAGAGCAGATGCTGTGAGTTTAAACACAGATTTTTATGTTTGTTTTATGGGGCTGAATGAAATGAATGATAATTAATATTTAATCGTTTTATCCTTAAGGTACTAACTTCTGTCTTATAATCCAGGACTACTATTCTGTCCTTGGGGTGTCAAGAAATGCCAGTAAATCTGAAATTAAAAGCGGTTTGTACTACGCCTTTATCTTAGTACTTCTGTTGGTTGCAATATTTCATCTGATATCTTCGTTCACATGCAATAAATGTCTTCTGTCGTGGATCCCTCCCCCTCTCTCTCGTGCTGAATTGGTTTCTAATATCATATGGGTTGTTAGATTCAGCATAGCATAGTATGATCCTTTGCTGATTTTAGTGTTTTTTTCTGTTCATCTTTTGTTTCAGCTTATAGGAAGCTTGCAAGAACTTATCATCCGGATGTGAACAAGTGAGTTATTTCTTTGACTTCTAAAGTCCCAAACTACTACTTGCTTTCCCCTGTTTTCGAGAAGTGCATATAAAATCTCTTTAAGTGCACACTTAGTATTTAGTTTTATCTGTGCCATAATGAGTAATAGCAAGCACAAATGAGTTTGTGTCCCAGCAATCTCTCTGACTTAAAAAGCCCCAAACTACTACTCCTCTTTCCCCGTTTTTGAGAAGCACATATTAAATCTCTT